GGCCCTGTGCCATGCTGGCATGGGCCTTGCTTCTTTGTGACATTCAGTGGGCCAGGCCACTTGATGGTCCCTCTGAAACCTGGGATGCTGTCACTGTTTCTGCCATCCACCAGATATGCGTCTGCCCACATCTCTCAAAGGGATGGCAGCCAGAATGAGTTTTCAGTTTAAATGATTGTTATGGTTTGTGTTTAGTCCCCCCAGAGCCTAGAGTTCATGATTAATTCTTGGTCCAATGCTGGGATTATGGATATGAGTGTGACACCAGCCCTGGGGTGAGAAATTTGCAAACAGCTGTAAGGAGGGAGAGAGGCTTGCTAGCTGCCTCCACAGCTGCTCCTCCCTTTGCTCCTTGCTGTTTTCCACCACCCTGACCTGCTGCGCTCTGCCATGTGCCACTCTGCCTTGGAGCCAGCCAAGTACGGACTGAAACCTCCACTAACTGTCACCTAAATAAATGTTTTCCTTCCTTAACTGTGAGTGTCTGGCATGTTGTCCCAGCAAGGAGAGAAGAGTAACTAAGACAGTGATGTATGGGGGCTTTCTAGGCTGCTTCATTGTTATCCGTTAGTTCTTGTTGTTTTTATTGACTTTGGCAGGTGAGGGGACTGAGCAAGAGGGTGTCTTGTAATAGAAGCCGTGGGATCAGGAGTTTTCCAGGGGTGACGCCCAGTGTCACAGCCCACCCTCCTGCCCCTGGGCTTACTGGTAGTTGCTTCCATTTCTATATAGTGTAAAAACACTAAAAAGGAGAGCTCAACATTTGGAGAGTTTCATTTTAGTGTTCAAGTAGTCAGCATGCTATTTTTAAGAAGTGGAGTCTCTTTCAAGGTCCTCGTGCCTCCCTACACTGGGGCAGGTGACAGGGTTGCTGCAGATTTCCCAGGTTTACTCTGATCAGAATTAGTGATTTTTCAACGTTATGGTAGCATAAATATACACCTGTACCTGCTTTCCACTTCCAGTGTGGTACTCAATAAATCCCAGAAGGTTTTCAGCATTTTATTATACAGTAGTTCTTATGTTAGGTGGTTTTTGCCCAACTAACAGGCTAATAAATAGAAGTGTGCTGAACACTTTATTTTGAGATAGTTTCTCATTATATAGTTCAGACTGGTCTTGAACTCACTGTATGGGTCAGCCTGGCCTCAAACTCATGGTGACCCTCTTGCCTCAGCTTCCTGAGTGCTGGGATTATAGGCTGCTAAGCCAGGAGTCTCAGCAGGTTAGGTATTTAAACACGTTTTTGACATCATATTGTCAAGCTAAGATGGGTTTATCTGGACAGAAGCCCTCATAGGCTAAGGAACATCTGTATAGTGCTCACTACATACTGCATATCTTCCTACTACCAGTATCTCCTCCCAGACAGAGCTCACAGAGTGCAGGGACTGGGCACTCACCACCACTTCCCCAGCATCCAGCCCAGTGCCTGAAACATGCCAGTGCTCCGCTGCATGCACGGAGAAAATGGACAGCACCTTTCATCTTTCTTTCTTCAGGAGGAGAGTGGAATTGGGCAAGAACAAATGCATAGCCTCTGGACATGAAGTACTATATGTACTCTCCCCAACTTTGCCAGCCTTGGCTCCTCTGCCCCCGTGTCTCCTGCAGCTGTCCCTGGGACTCTGGTCACAAGCCAGGTGGCAGGTGATAGTGAGGGAAGCCAATGTTGCCCTAACCCTTGCCAGCCATGTGGTCAGTGAAAGGTTAGCTGTCCTCTCCAACGACAACAGTGCAAATCCACAGGTGTTTCCTCTTCCAAGGACTCAGTACAGTGTGGGTGGGGCCATAGGACCCTGCCGCCAGAATCAGGCAGTGTGTAACTGTGCGCCCAGATGGGTTTTGGACGCCTCCCTCTACAAGACGGCAATGCTGTGGGACGAGACAGAAGGAGCAAGAGGACCTCTGAGAGGCTCATCCCCGGGGATGCCTAGCGCTGCCCACTTAGCTTCTTGTGTGCACACAGAGAGCACAGAGGAGCTGACTCTTGTCTTTAGATGGCATCTCCCTCATGAGAGCCTCAAAAACACCTGCTTGATATGCAAAGGTGTCGGGCTGGTCTCAACACAAGGATCCTCAGCACAGAATTCAGACCGGAGGAAAATCCCATCTCTTCTCTGCACTAGTCTTTAATTGCAATGTGTCCCTTTCTTCAATTATGAGTACAAGCGTGGATAACAATGCAGGCTGTGAAGTCGCTGGCACAACCATGGGTGTCTCCACATCACCTCACCGGGCCTCAGGCACCCTGCAGGGTGCGACTGTGTGACTCCGGGGTGAAGGCTAGAGCTTGACTTGGTACAGGAGGACTCATGTGCTCTGTGGGGCAGGGTAGTCTAGAAAACAAAATCAACGTGTGTGTGTGTATGTGTGAGTGGACGTGCGTGTGGGTGACTGTGTGTGTTTTTCCTTGATCCAGGGTCCAGCCTCTGAACTTCCCTGCCTGTGCCGGCCACCTTGGCCTCTCTGCCCCAGTGTCAGCATGGGCTCACAGGCCTGTGGAGGCCAAGAAGTTGTGACCTGCCCCCTTCAGGTTGAGTCCTTGGAACAATGATGGCATGGCTCTGAGGACCAAGGGCCAACGGCATCTGCTCCTAAAAGGGCAAGAGAGGGGCGTCCTGGCTCAGTCAGTCAGGCAGAGGCGGCGGGCTCCCCTTCCTTCTCCCTTCCTTCCACTCATCCCCACGTTGGGCAGGGGTATCTTCTGTGCTCTGGCTGCTAATCCAGACCCTTTTCTCATTGGAAAACACCCACAGACACATCCGGAAATAGTGTGTCACCAGCCAGCAGGGCACCCCACAACCCAGTCAAGTTCATATATGAAATAACTACCATCATCACACTGTATCATGAGCTTGAATTTTTTTATTTTAAAAAGAAAACATAAAAAGATACTGAATTTCTAAACAAGCTGATAACAAATTAGCAACAGTTATACTGCATTGTTTTCTTTTTCAGCCTCCCCAGAACTGGGATTACAGGTGTACCACTCCTGTGATTCCTTACAGACTTCCACATCTTGCATGCAGTCTGTTTCTCTAGTGAGTGTGGACTGATACAGGTGCTGTTTCATGCACTATGATCAGGAAGGATTCTGAGCTGGACCAGTTCAGGAAACTAACCCATTACCATGGGGCAGCTTCCCTGAGGAGTCCTGACTTCCAGTTTGGAGAGGAGGCCTCTTCCAGCAGTTTACCAAGGCTGCCATGAGAAAGTATTGCAAACTGGGTGGTTAAACAACAGAAATGTATTGTCTCACAGTTCTGGAAACCAATTAAGATGAAGGGACTGTGGGGGGAATAAAATGGTCAAGATGTGATATGTTTATGTATCCTCAAGGTGAGTGTAATTATTATGTATGACTACATAATAATTGTAGCATATACTAAACAAATATGCATATACCAAAATTTTTTGAAAGATGAAGGTCTAGGCAGCATTTGTTCATTCTGAGTGCTGGGAGAGAGAATTTGTTCCATGCCTGGAGTGGTTTGTGTGTGATCTTTGGTAATTCCTGGCTTGTAGAAATATCAGTCTGATCGCTGCCTCTGTCTTTGCACGCATCCTTCCTGGGTGTACCTTGGTGTCCGAATTTTTCTCTTTATATGAGACACCAGTTCTGTTGGATTAGTGGCTGATCCTACGCCTGCCTGACCTCATCATCTGTGGAAATCTATTCCCAAATGGGTTGTCTGATTAGGATTTCAATATATGCATCTGGGGAGACACAGTTCAGCGTGTAGATTAACCTTCTTTGTCAATTTGCTTCTTTATTATTCTCAGGCCCAGATTATTCTTTAGAGATGCGTTCTGCCTCTTTATAGCTAACACTGTTGCTGATAGTGGGTTATTATTTTCTATGTGTTATAATTTCTTCTAATGTAGTCTTACAGCCTCTTAGGGAGAATAACTATAAATTGAGCTCTATCCTTGATGAGGTACCAGAAGATCTGATGGGAAGTCATGAATGTATACAGTATGCTTTCAGAGGTGGTCTCTTTATTCTGGTGGAAGACCTAATGTTTAAGTATTTCACCCATGACCAGTATCATATATATATAT